AGTTTAACAAGAGAAACCAGAAAACTGGATATTTGGGTGAAGTACTTATGATTTCCTAATGTCGGTAACGTAACTAAAAATATACTTCACATGCCAGAAAAAACGTGTGGGCCAAATTCTGTCTGCCAGCTGATTTTTATAATCTTTGCTAGTTATGGAAAAAGTCTTTTACCTCTTTCTTCTGATAAATACAGAAAATTTTGCTACCAAGTATGAAATGTTGCTGTAAAGCTACATATTCTGTATTTCAGGGTGATTGTATTTTTTTTTTAAAGATCAAAAAAATTATTCATTTGAGATAGAGAGAGGGAGAGTATGAGCAGAGGGAGAGGGAGAAGCAGACTCCCCACTGAGCCAGGACCTCGTCATGGGCCTTGATCCCAGGACCCAGAGACTACCACCTGAGCCAAAGGCAGACACTTAACCATCTGAGCCAGCCAGGCGCCCCAGGGGGACTGTGTTTTTTTTTTTTTTCTTTTTAAGATTTATGTCTTTATTTATGATAGAGAGAGAGAGAGGCAGAGACACAGGAGGAGGGAGAAGCAGGTTCCATGCCAGGAGCCTGACGTGGGATTCAATCCTGGGACTCCAGGGTCACGCCCTGGGCCAAAGGCAGGTGCTAAACCGCTGAGCCACCCAGGGATCCCTGGTGACTGTGTTTTTGATGTCAGATTCCTGGGACTGTTTTTGGAAAAACCAGAATGTTTGGGTTTTGTTTTTTAATCCATCATCAGCCTAGTTACTTTTTATTTTTAAAATTACTTTTATAATCAAAAGAAATAATGCTAAATGATGCTAAAAACTTCAAACATTTCAGAAATATATAATGTAGAAAATGAAGGCCTTCTCTAAGTCCCCCCCCATATCATTATTTTGTGTTTATATATTCTTTTTTTTTTTTTTTAAGATTTTACTTATTTATTCATGAGACACACAGAGAGAGAGAGAGAGAGAGAGGCACAGACACAGGCAGAGGGAGAAAAGCAGGTTCCATGCAGGGAACCCGACATGGGACTAGATCCTTGGTCTCCAAGATCACATTCTAGGCCGAATGTGGCGCTAAACTGCTGAGCCACCCGGGCTGCCCTATTTTGTGTTATATATGCTTTTATTTTTTAAAAAATATTTTTATTTATTTATTCAGAGAGAGAGAGGGAGAGGGAGGGAGGGAGGGAGGCAGAGACACAGGCAGAGGGAAAAGCAGGTTCCATGCAGGAGCCCGACGTGGGATTCGATCCCGGGTCTCCAGGATCACACCCTGGGCTGTAGGCGGTGCTAAACTGCTGCGCCACCAGGGCTGCCCTGTGTTATATATTCTTGTTAAAACCACTTACTAGTCATTGCTTTTTAGGAGTGTTTGGATACCTGATATGTTATAACTTCATTTGTTTTTAGTACTTTAGAATTTGTTTAATGACAACCACACTTTTGAGTATTATAGTTTTTAGTAATACACCAATGCATAAAGTGTATTATGATGTGTGACCAGATAAATAGTTTGATTACTGTTCTTCCCAGGATTCATTAGGTAATCAATCTCCTAATTTCACCAAAGATTCTTCAGCAGGGACACAGCGAAGGCATAGTCTTTAGTGTCCTGAATAATACCACAACAAGGCCTTTTCCACAATAAAGGGAAAGTCATAGAATACACATTGCTTTGAATATAATGTAACTTGTGGAGCTTTAACATATTTCAAAGTACTTAATAGAAAATGAAACTTTGAATTTTAAATATGTCTTAGATGAATGGGAGCATAACATGAAATGTAAAATGTAGTCATTCCTAATGTGTTGAGAAATATGGCCCTCTAAAAAACTTTTTTTTTGTTTTTTTTTTGTTTGTTTAAAGATTTTATTCATTCATTCATGAGAGACACAGAGAGAGAGAGGCAGACACACAGGCAGAAGGAGAAGCAGGCTCCATGCAGGGAGCCTGACGTGGGACTTGATCCCGGGACTCCAGGATCATGCTCTGGGCCGAAGGCAGGCACTAAACCGCTGAGCCACCCAGGGATCCCCTCTAAAAAACTTTGTATTCCAAATTAAACTTATTCAAGAATATTTACAAGTTCCTTTTTTTTTTCAATTATTAAAAAGTATTTTATTTATTCATGAGAGACACAGAGAGAGAGAGAGGCAGAGACATAGTCACAAAGAGAAACAGGCTCTATGCAGGAAGCCTGATATGAGACTGATCCCAGACCTCCAAGTTCATGCCCTGAGCCAAAGCAGATGCTGAATCAAACCTGTGTTCTGTGACAAGCCTATCTTTTTGCAAGGAAACAGTGAATTAGGGCAGCCTGGGTAGCTCAGCAGTTTAGTGCCACCTTCAGCCAAGGGCCTGATCCTGGAGACCTGAGATCAAGTCCCACATCGGGCTCCTTGCATGGAGCCTGCTTCTCCCTCTGCCTGTATCTCTGCCTCTCTTTCTCTGTCTCTCGTGAATAAATAAATAAAATCTTAAAAAAATAAACAGTGAATTACATAATTACTCCAATTAACAATTTTTCAAGGGGCACTAAAAATGTATAGTGTGCTGCTGTAGGGGTGTGAAGGATTATGTAAAGTCATCTGGAGACTCTGAGATGGTCCTTTAGAGGAAGTGATACTAGAGCTGAGCTATATAAAGATGGGTACCAATTAAATGGGCAAAACTTTGGAGATGGTGGGATGATTCTAAGGAGAATGAAATGCTGAGTGATGATCCTGATTGGAAGGAACATGGATGAAGAATGAATGGGTTGGAGTGCAGAGACCAAGGGGGAGGTGTATAGAGAGATCAGATCCTGAGGGGCTAGAAGCCGCATTAAAGATTATAGGTCTGTTCCTTTCTATAGGGTGACTGTAAATGTCTTGCCCAAACCAGGCCATTTGAGAATAAAAGGTGGCACCATTACTAATATAAATAAGTAAATAAATAAATCAGTATATATATTTATAAAAAACAGATTTTTATAGTGCTGTTAATTGAATACTAGTCACTTACCAATAGCAGCAACAGGGTATGGGATCTTTGTAGCTTGCTTTGGAAGATGACTAGCATATGCCAACTCTATAAGATCATTGAAGGTGGGGTGCCTGGGTGGCTTCGTTACGTGTCTGGCTCCTTATTTTGGCTCAAGTCATGATCTCGGTCATGAGATTGAGCCCTAAGTTGGGCTCCACGCTGGGTGTGGAGCCTGCTTGATGTTCTCTGCACTCCCTCACACCTGCTCATGCTCTCTCCCCCTTGTCCCAAAAAAGATCATTGAAGAAAATTGTGTAATTTTGGCCACTGGCTAATTTCATAACCCTGAGTATTCTAGGACTCAATATGCTTTCATTCCCCCTCTTTTGTTTTGAATTTTCCTTTAAAAAAATGTATCTTCTTTAAAAAAATGTTTTTTAAATAGACTTTGCACCCAATGTGGAGCCCAACGCAGGGTTTAAACCCATGACCCTGAGATTTGGACCTGAACTGAGATCAAGAGTTGGATGCTTAAGTGACTGAGTCACCCAGGTGCCTCTAAAAAATGTATTACTGACATTTCTTTTTTTTTCTTTCTTTTTCTTTTTTTTAATTTATGATAGAGAGAGAGAGAGAGATAGAGAGAGAGAGAGAGAGAGAGAGAGAGAGAGAGGGGCAGAGACACAGGCAGAGGGAGAAGCAGGCTCCATGCACCGGGAGCCCGACGTGGGACTCGATCCCGGGTCTCCAGGATCGCACCCTGGGCCGAAGGCAGGCGCCAAACCGCTGTGCCACCCAGGGATCCCCTGACATTTCAATCATATAAAACAGAGACTAGGGTAGTGAATTCCGTATCCTCATCACCAGTTTTTAGTAATTATAAAAGTAATTATTAAGTTTGTTTTATTTATACCTCCTCCCATTCTTTCATCCCCTGGATTATTTTGAAGCAAATTCCAGATGTTGTATTTTGTTGTAAATATCTATGTGTATCTCAAAAAGATAAGAAAAGTTACCAAAACAAACCTCCTTAAAAACATTAACATCAATTTCTTAATATCATCAGGTATTTGTGTTATATTGTTGTTACCATTTGCCAATTTTCTTATATATTAAAAGTTTTTTTTTTACTTTGCTTGAATCAGAATACAAATCTTATAATTACTATATCTTTTAAGTCTTTTAAAAATATTTTTCATTTGGTTTTATTGAAGTTCGATTTGCCAACAAATATCTTTTAAGTCTTTTTTTTTTAAGATTTTATTTATTCATGACAGACACACACACACACAGAGCGAGGCAGAGACATAGGCAGAGGGAGAAGCAGGCTCCATGCAGGGAGCCTGACGTGGGACTCAAACCTGGGTCTCCAGGATCATACCCCGGGCTGAAGGCAGCACCAAACCGCTGGGCCATCAGGGCTGCCCATCTTTTAAGTCCTTAATGAGGTTCTCCTCCATATTTTCTTTCAAAGTTTGTTATTGTTTTTTTTTTTTTTTTTCAAGTACATAGTATTCACCCTGTAGTTTCCTACAGTCTGCATTTATGCTGTTTGTGTTTCTGTGGTGATGTTTAACATGTTCCTTTGTCTTTTGTATTTTCTGTAAATTGATTACACGGAAAGCAGTGTGTCTCAACATGGTGGGTAGAGGCCAGGGATGCTGCTAAACATGATACACTGGCTAGGAGGCCCCCACAACAAAGAATTATCGAGGTTAAAATGTACTGTTGAGTGCCATGGTTGAGAAATTATGATCTAGAGACTTTATCAGCTTCAGGTTTAATTATTTTTGGTCTAGTTCTTTCCATTTTTGTGATTTTAGGAGTGATTGATGATTATCCAGGTCCTTTAATTTATTAGGGATTCACAAAAGGGTAGCATTCTAATTCTTCCTTCCTTCTTTATTATCTGGACTACCTCTCTAAAGAGAAACGTCCCTTTTTCAATTGTTTGGTTACCTTGAACTATAGATCATATAGTAAAGGCAGGTTAAATGCCTGATGTTTTCCCGTTCTTTACCAGCCCATAAAATCTTCTATTTTATTCCAGATTGATCTCCTATCAAGAGTTTTTGGCATTTGAATCTGTTTTATGTGCTCCAGATTCTATGTTCATAGTGGCTTTCCAGTTGTTTGACAAGAGTGGAAATGGAGAGGTGACATTTGGTAAGGAAAAAAAAAGATTATAAGGGATAAGTGAAGTCAGTAAGGCTGGTCCAGTCTTTAATTGCTAAATCTAGTAACTGCATAGATTGCCGCTTATTTAGGAGCTAGTCAATAAGTGAAGTATTGATATCCTAAAAGAATTTACACAGATAAAATTAAAACGCTGTATTTTACTAAAAGTATTAGACTATTGCAAAAAAGTAAAGAATCTAGGAATGCCGTTGCTCATTGAGTCATTGACACTTCCACATTCCTAAAATAGGTGGTATAAAGTTTTCTTGTTCTGGGCTAGCCTGGGCAAAATTCTTTATGAAACAGACTGTGAACAACATGGAATAATCATGTCATTCTTTAAAGAATTTTTGGGTAGAGAGTGCAGAGCTTTTCAATAGCAGTTTGGAAAATTGCTAGGTCATTTTAACACCAAGAATGGAACTGAAGGAGGGAGTTAAGAATAGTTAGCATTCTCTAAACCCCCATTATAGATTTTTGGTTTTAGGAAACAAGCCTAAAATGTTGAAATTGGTATCTGTGTTAAATGTAGAAATTGATATAAATCCTTTGTTAGGCACATAATTTAGCACAGTGCCATTGTTTGACAAGCATATAAACTAAAATTTCTATTTGTAGCCATGTGTTAGTTTTTAAAGATGCATATTTGCAGCAATTTGTGTTTAAAGTGTCTGCTAATTTTTCTGGCAACAGGAGTTTCAATAAGAGCAATGCAGTATTTTCAAGGACCTTGAACCCACATTGCCCTTTTTTTTTTTTTACTTTTTTTTTAATTTTAGTAAGACACATAAAATCTTAACCATTTTTCAATGTATAGTTCAATAGTGTTGAGTATATTCACATTGTTGTGAAACAGATTTCCAGAACTTTTTCATCTTGTAAAGTCGAACTTGAGCCCTTTTGTGGTATGAATTGGCATCAATATGTGGTAGAAAAACTCTTGAACATTAGGCTTTCCATGACTATAGTGCTAAATATTTCTTCACTGTAGAATTTGTTACAGAAAAAACATCCTTCAGTTAAACCCAAAGGAAGAAGCATCACTGGCATGGAAAGAATAATGAGAAAGTATTAGGTATTCAAAAGGACCAGTGATGCCTTTACTTTGATTTTAGTCAGCACGTTTTCTAGTTTGGCATTGACTGTTCCCTTTTGCCAGTTGACCCAGTTATTTTCCATATAAGAAGATTTTTCCAAAATAAATACCAACACAAACAGAACCCCTTAAGCTTCTGCATCTGTCTTGGCATGCTTCCTGCTTCGGTGCAAGCTCTGGCCCTTCTGCCTCCTAAAGAAGGCGGACTTTCCCCAGAAGCACCAAGATTCTGTAGTTTAAAGTATAAAACCTTTATCTTCTCATCATTCAGCATTAACCCTGGGCCACTAATACTGATTTTCTATTTTCAGTAGGTATCACACAGTCTCACATGTCTCACTTCCAAATGTTGTGCAGCAGTGCTCGGGTAATACTTTGATACAAGTATCTCCATTAGAGTTAGCATACCTGTACTTGGATCATGTGTCCATTGTTTAAGAATTGTATTTCCCAAAACAAATTATGGTTTCTTTTTGTCCCTCCTACCTTGGTATCTTGGTTCTTTGTGTCTCCTCCATTTGATTGCTTTTCCCAATTTTATTTTAAAAAGTCACTAAAGTCAGTTCATCCAATAGAATAAAGCAGAGACTCATGCCAGTGTTGATTAGTAGATTAAATGAGTATAGAAAGTAGCTGAGTGGTTTATAAACACATGTATTTCATACAAATTAAAGCTTATAGTTACTAGATCCCAACTTTAGCATTTTATAGATATTTTGTTTTTTCCCCAGACTATGAAGAGTTAGAATTTTAAGAAACTATAATTAAGATTAAAAGCCAAACAAATTAGTTTCAGTTGTTGTAACACCTGATATGAACTGAAGAACATAAGAACCCTCCAAAATCCTGCTGTCATTCTTTTGCTTCATAATCAAGAGATAGGAAGATTTTTATGGAATGATATAAAGCTGAACGCCCTTTCTACATTGGTCCTGGAGTCCCTGGCCAGCAGGATGTTTGTCTTGATGATGTTCACATATTTCCTGGGAACATTGACTGTTTTCTCTTCCTGCCTTGCCCCCTACTTTTGAGGATCCATTTTGGATAAATTTTCTTAAATAAAAAGAATCATAATGAAGGAGAGAAAGTTTAATAATTTTAGATTCTTAAGAGGAAAAGCATTCAAACTTATACAAATGCCATTTAACAAGTTTTCTAAGGCCTACTCATTACAGGCTATTTTCAAGACTGTAAAATTTCAACATAAGGAAATGATTAACTTGGAGTTTATTTTTATAGGATTTGGATCTGTGATAAAGGTCAGTTTTCATGTTTGTATCCACTTCATAAAATGAATTATGCTTATGTGTTTATAGATAAATAGGTAAAAGAAAATTTTAGATCCATTCTAACTCTAAATCCTTTTCACTAAATGGCTTTATGTTTTCTAGTTTGGAACTTATTTAAAGTTTTCTCTTGAGCACATCAGGAGAGAAAGGTGGGAGAGAATATTGGATGCCAGGTGTAATGGAGTGGGGAAAACTGTTATGCCATCAGTATCTCATGGACTATGATGATGATGTTATCTGTGTATTTGTATATATTGTTCTCATTTATGCTTTTGTTTTTTTAGATATGCTTTTTAATATATATCAGATTAGATTCTTAAATTGTGTGCATTTTTGCAAGTATTTATATAAATAGAAATATTGAACAACATTTACTTGAGTGCTGGACAAGTTTTTTGTTTTTTTTTAAATTGTTAGAGATGCCTTTACTTTGGGGGAGAGGACGAAAACTTGAGACCTCAGTAATACATTTCAGAATATGCAAACTCAGAGCGTTCTGGAGTTTTTAAAAGAGTGAATAAAACCACTAGTTGTTTCCTCTTTGATGTTCTTTTAATATAAAACTTCTAATGCATGCTGTAGATAATTACTTAATGGCTTGTGTATCTTTTACTGCCTGGTGGCATGAGCCTTGTAGAGGCCGCTGCATGACTGGTGTGTGCTAGATACATTATAAACTTGCTTTGGTCTCCCTGCTAGCCACTAGTGTACTGGATATTCTGCTCAATAGAATTAGGTTGAGGTAACCTAGATAACCAGTTATACTACATTGTGTTGTCAATAGCTGCCATGCATTTGTCCCACATTTTAAAAATATCAAAGCCTATTGCTTTAACAAAGATATAATCCTTCTAAAAAAAATGAAACCCATACTCCTCTATCTACTAATACATGAATATAAGATATGTTATACAGTATAAGTTTTCTACTGAAATCTCATCAACATTGTGTTCCAAACTGCTCGTGTAGGAATGGGAACTTTCCAAAGTGATCTTTTTTCAGGGGCATATCTTCATCTCCTCACTCTAGAACCCTCAAAAAGCAGGGATTTCTTTTGATTTTATACTGTGTTTGGTCATCATTAGATACAACAAATGAATATGTGTTCCATTTGTGCCTCTAAAATAGACTCTTTTTCCAGGAAGGGAAGAACAGATTGGGTTTACCATGGCTGTTATTAAAAGATTCAGGAGATAGAAGTCTAGATATGAAAAATGTACACTTTCTCAGTGGAAACAAAGCTGTAGACATGGAATAATATGAAAATCTAATGGTAACAAATACCTACTTTAATCTAGTAAGAATTGGAGCTTTACCTGGGTGTTCAAATTAAATCGGGAAAAATTTTGATATTCCTTTCAGATACTGCAGAGAAAGTGATATTAATACTCAAGGGTGCTAGAGTAGGGTAGAGTTTGAAGTAAAAAAAAAAAAGGATATGGTATTATTAGTTTTTATGCCATTTGGTGATAGACTCTTGAAGCATCTAGTTTCTATAGTAATAGATGCTCTTTAAATGTAAACTCATTTTTTTTCTGAGAAATGGACCTTCACATGTATTTGGCAGCAGGTATGGTAGTCCCTTCTGGAGGTAGGTAAAGGGTTAATAGAAATACTTTCTTGCTTGGAAAAACTGAGGAAGTCACCTAGGAAACTAATGATCCAGTTGGAAGTAGAACCTAGCAGTCTGGGACTGAGTCTACATGCTATGTTGTTTGGGACTTCCTCTGCTAAGTTCCTGTTGTTGAACTTTTTGTTGTTGTTGTTTGTTTTCCTTTGTTTTCTCTTTTGGTCTCTTAGTTGTTCCTCTTCTTTCTCCCCAAGTTTTCCTTCACTGAAAAACTCTTTACTTCCACAAGTCTCGCCATTGTTTTTGTTCAGTTATACACAAGGAATTCATTGTTTGGTGGGAGTTCTTCTAAAAGCCTCTCTGACTTCACTTTAAGAACTGTGCAGGTGAAACTCAGCTATCGAGGACTTTTTTTTTTCCCTGACAATAAAAATGTTTGATCTCAAGCCTATTAAATTGGAAGCAGTGGCTCCTGCTGGGCTGGAATCCTTGGAATCAGGATGTCGTTGGGCTGATGGTAGGTGGGCTGTGTCACAGGGCTGATGGCTTGTATACCTACAGGAGGAGTTCTCTGGCCACACCGTTGGTACAGCAGCTCCTTCCAGGCTCATTCATGGAACAGGCATGGCGGCAGTCTTGGAGAAGAGTGCCAGCCCCGGTCAGAGGTAATTTTGTACTGCAGAAAGGTGAACAAGACCAGTAGGAAGCTCCCATAAGGACCAGGGGAGGGATGAGGGTGGATGAGATGGGGAGACACAGTGTGGGCTGCTGGGGAAATTAAAACCTCTATTAAGACATATTTACATAATATATATGCTTCAATGTGTATTTCATCTAGTCCTATCATCATAAGTGACTGATACAGCTAAACTGACTAATGTTATATGTCTGTGAACATTTTTACTTAATCACAGTTGTCACCATTACCTGCCCTCCTGACAAATCGTTCTCCTTTCCTTTGAACAAAGAGAACATAATGACAGGCTACTTTTGTATCTGGCCCCAATTCCCTCGTCAGAGGAATTCTAAACCATCTCTTTCATAAGCCCATGCTCTGCAGGAAGTGAAAAAGTGGTCTATTGTTTTCTATATGTCAGAAAACGAATGGATTCCTATATCCCATAGCAATACTAGTCTAGTATAAAACCTGAGATCATGATCTTGCTGCCAATAAGATGTGACTGTCATAGCCCTTTCATCCAGGCCAGAACTATGGCCACTGAAATAGTACTCCAAGGAGTGCTGTTTAGAGCTAAAGACCCTTGTTTGCCACTGGAAAGACGGGATTCTCTCTGGGGGAAAACACTATGCAGTTTCAGTTAGATGCATTGGTAATATTTGAGATGATTGGGGTTCCCTTTCATGTCATGCAGAACTTGATAAAACTGGGTAAGGTAAGAACATCATCTGTTTGAGCTATTGCCTCACACAAGTAGAAGCTCTCCAGTTCTGGAGCTTTTGTATAATTTTTTTTTTTTTTTGATAACACATCCTGGTAAAGTGGTAATTATGAATTGGACTTTAAAACAATAGTTGTACTAATTATTTTTGTAAGCTTCCTGAATTAGCCTTAGGCAATTGGTAGTGAAAATAATAAGAGAAGGGAAGTGGAACACATCAAGAGGTGCCAAAGTAGGTTTGAAATTTTGTTTTTCCTAGTAACTATAGTTGTAGCCTGTGACATAGTTAAAATAATTAAAAGTGTCTGGGGGGTGGTTAACAAAACACCGCACATATTAATGGTCATAATAAAACCATACACAAAGCTGTCAATCACCACTTTGTAAGAAGTAGGAAATGTTGAAACAAATACTCATGGAAACTGACACTTCAATATTTGGGGAGATTATTATGAGTAATTTAAGCTATCATTTTAATTATTTCAAAGATACTCCAAGATCTTATTTAGAGGTTGTTAGAAAGTTTACAAAATAGGATTTTAGTTAAAGTTTTTATTATGGGACTTTTAAAAATGTAGATTAGACATTGTGATTTTAGTTCATAAGTATCCATTTTGTGATAATAGAAAAACAGTTTCATAATTGAGTAAATTTTTGTAGTTTGAAAGCTTCTGAATCTTTGTATTTGATTAGTTTCACACTAATAATCTAATATTTTCTGGTCATATAGAGGAAATTCAGTTTTATTCCACCGTTATATAAAACTTATCTAGGTAGCAGTATGTGCATTTCTTACCAAAGAGTTGAGTTTCAGGATTTGTGACCTTTAAAATGAAGGTTATCATAAAATAACTTATTCCCTTTCATAATATTTAAATATATAGTAACTTAAGTTATTCTATTCTGTTTTCCATTAATTTCTTCATATTTCCTTAGTTTTAGACTCCCTGAGACCTTAAAAATAGGAAATCAAAGTAATTAGCTTGGGAATAGAACAGCTAGTTAAAGGAGATCATAAAAAATCTTTGTTGATTTCATAGTATATTTAGCTCTAAATATATTTTGTAATCCTTATTATTTTAATTATCTCATAACCTTTAACATATTTTACAACTGTTGAAATTCCATATAGATTTAAGGGTGGTTAAAAGCCAGGAAGAATCCCAGGAATTCTTTTTGTTCTTAGAAACAAAACCCCTTATATTTAATAGTGTTTATGGAAGATGAAAATAATTTTAACATGGTTTGAAAACTCTGACACAGTGTTGCTAATTAGGCAAGAAATAAATGCTACATTCTATTTGAAAGACGAGAATCCCATCTCCCCAGTGACATCCAATGCCTTCTTCCAGCTTACTGATAGCTGTGACCTATTCAGAACTGTTACATTGAGTCCAGACTGGTAGGATTTCCAGTTTGGGATTCTTACACTATTTTCCACCTTATCCCAGTAACAATCTTTTATCAAGAGAAAAAGGTATATAAAACTAAAGGGAATCCATTAAACCATTACAATATGAGATCGATATCTTATTTAATGAATTGCAGAAATTAGAGAAATAACATAGTTGGAGATTATAAAACATTAAACTTCTATTTATTAATTAGTAAAATTGATAGCTATGGACAGTAAAACACTTCCACTAATATAATTGGCATAAACTTGAAAATAATTTTTTTTATGACATCAGTAAAACAGGCTTCCTGCTTTCTTAACTTTGTTAATGATTTTTTTTTTTTTTGGCATGAGCTTCTAAATTAGGCTATTCAGTCTAAGCTTGTTAAAGTACCAGTCATTTGTGAATTGACTTTTATAGTAAGTGTAGAAGTGTGTAAGAAAGTGACTGACATTGTAGTGCATGAAGACAAGCTGTCAGAGGGTTTTGGTTGTATATTACATAGCTTTACTTGTTCCTATCTAAAAGTTAGTGTACTGTGTTTAGTCCTTCTTTATTTAAAAGTGAATCACTAATTTCACTTATCTTAAAATATTTTAATAGTTGAGACTAATAATCATGCTTTTTATGGGGATTTTGAAGCTTTGTGTCAAGACCATATTTTTGACAATATCAGAAGCTTTTAATAAGGTGCTTGCTGCTGAGCTAATGATATGCTTTTGGTAGAATTTCTTATACCTATCTTCAATAGACATTCAGGCTAGTGTGAATGTAATAATCAAGCCTCAATCAAACCATACTTAGTATGACAAATATTGCATTATACTGTAATTTAGGTATTCATGCTTCTGATAAAGGGCTTAATTCGACTCCTTGAGGAATCGGGAAAACACTATTGATTTTATTCTGGAATGCAAAGTAGCAGCCATTTATAGTGCAAGATATAAATCACTTCCTAATTAAAATTAAATCAAGAGAAATTAAGAATCTCATGGCCTTATATGTAATGGTACACAATCTTAAGTGTAAAATTATATTTTGTATCAATTGTGTTCCTGTGCATGGGTTTCTGGGCACAAAAAATTTTGCAGCTAATCTTAATAGAAGCAGATAATATTGACTTAAAATTTCTCTTAATTTCTTTCTGTAGGAACATTGCAGTGGACTAAACTACTTATTCCAGATATAATTTATTTATTTTTGTTTTCCCTTTTAAGAAAATGTCAAAGAAATTTTTGGACAGACTATTATTCATCATCATATCCCTTTTAACTGGGACTGTGAATTTATCCGACTGCATTTTGGTCATAATCGGAAGAAGCATCTTAACTACACAGAATTCACACAGTTTCTCCAGGTGAGCTTAGTTTTCATAACTCGTATAAATACATGCCATTTCTCCTCTACGTCCTTCCTTTTTAGTTTTAAGTTTCTTACCAAAAAAGAGCAATTCTCTGTACCATTACACCCCCATTTTCCATTTCCCACTCCCAGATGCAGCTTTTAAAACTCTCATAACTGTTCTTTCAATGACTACTTCCATAGTTTTAAATAATAAACGTGTGTTGGCTCTTCTATTTTTTTTAAATCTCCTTTTTTAATTGCAGTATTCTCCAAATTAGTGTTTTCACTTTCTTTGAATAAATACCCAGTAGTGGAATTACTGGATTGTGTGGTATTTCTGTCTTTAATTGTTTCAAAGAATTTCCATACTGTTTTCTACAATGGCTGCACCAATTTGCATTTCCACCAACAGTGCATGAGGGTTCCCTTTTCTCTACATCCTCAACAATACTTGTGATTTCTTGGGTTTCTAATACTGGCTATTCTAACACATGTGAGGTGATAGCTCATTGTGTTTTTTTTTTTCTTTAAAGATTTATTTATTTATTTTAGAGCGTGGTGGGGAGGGGCGGAGGGAAAAGGTGAGAGTCTTAACCAGACTCCATGCTGAGCAGAGCCAGAGGCAGACCTGGATCCCTTTACTCTGAGATCACAACCTGAGCTGAAACCTAGAGTTGGATGCTTAACTGACTGCGTTGGCCATCTGGATGTCTTTGAAAAAATATCTATTCATTTCCTCTGTTTTTCAATCATATTATTATTTTTTTGGTGTTGTATAAGTTTTTAAAATATATTTTGGATATTAATCCTTTATTGGATGTATGATTTGCAAATATCTTCTCTCATTAAGTACATTGTCTTTTTCTTTTGTTGGTGGTTTCCTTTGCTGTGGAGAAGCTTTTTATTTTGGTGTAGTCCTAATAGTTTATTTTTGCTTTTGTTTCCCTTGCCTCAGGAGACATATTTAGATAAATGTTGCTAAGGCCAATGTCAGTGAGATTACTGCCTATGTTTTCTTCTAGGAATTTCAAGGTTTCAGGTCTTACATTTAGGTCTTTAATCCATTTTGAGTTTATTTTTGTGTGTGCTCTAAGAAACTGGTCCATTGTCATTCTTTTGCATAGTTTTGTCCAGTTTTCCCAACACCCATTTATAGAAAAGACTGTCTTTTCCTCATTATATTCTTTCTTGTTTTGTTGGAGATTAATTGATCATATAATTGAGGGTTTATTTCTGGGCTCTCTATTCCATTCCATTGATCTATGTGTATTTTCGTGCCAGTACCATACTGTTTTGATTACTACAGCTTTGTAGTTCATCTTGAAATCTGGAATCGTGGAACCTCCAGCTTTATTCTTCTTTCTCGAGATTACCTTGCCTATATGGGTTTATCTTTGGTTCTATACTCTACATTAAAAGTTTTCACTTTTAGGTCTTTTTCACTGAATTTGAACTGTGGAAGATTAGGAGCTGGTTCTTTCACCTCTCTCTCTTCCACAAATTTAGATATTTTCTTTCTCCATCCCCCATATAATTATGTTATGATTCTGCTTAGATCAATAAACATTTTAATTACTATAATTTTATAAATACTGTGCATGACTAAAATGATTACTTTTCTTACGATTTCTAGTTTTTCTTATTTGTTTAGTTTTCTATGTATTAATGCTAATTCATTCTTAAATTTTGCCTCAGTTATTAACATCTCATTTTAATATGTTTACAACATATTAGGTATTCTGTCAATTTCATCTTCTTGGAGCTCTCTAGGAGTTTTTTTTTTTTTTAAAAAATCAAGGTAAGGATCCCTGGGTGGCGCAGCGGTTTGGCGCCTGCCTTTGGCCCAGGGCGCGATCCTGGAGACCCAGGATCGAATCCCACATCGGGCTCCCGGTGCATGGACCTGCTTCTCCCTCTGCCTGTGTCTCTGCGCCTCTCTCTCTCTCTCTGTGACTATCATAAATAAATAAAAAAAAAATTAAAAAAAAAAATAAAAATCAAGGTAAAATTCACTTAACATAAAATTAAGTACATAGAAGTGCATAATTTAGTGGCATTTAGTACAATTCAGTGTTGTGCAACTACCACCTTTGTCTTATTCCCAAACCTTTTTTTTCTGTATATTTTTTTATTGGAGTTTGATTTGCCAACATATAGCATATCGCCCAGTGCTCATCCCGTCAAGTGCCCCCTTCAGTGCCCATCACCCAGTAACCCCGGCCCCCTGCCCACCTCCCTTTCCACTACCCCTTTTTCGTTTCCCACAGTTAGAGGAGTCTCTCATGTTCTGTCTCCCTCACTGATATTTCCCACTCATTTTCTCTCCTTTCCCCTTTAATCCCTTTCACTATTTTTTATATTCCCCGAATCAATGAGACTATATAATGCCCAAACCTTTTTATTACCAAGAAAATCCCTCTGTATTCATTAAGCAGTCACTCCCCATTCCTGTTTCTCCTCAGCTCCTGGCAACCACCAAACTACTTTCGCCTCTGTGGATTTGCCTATTCTGCATAGTTCATATACAGTAGCTCCGCCGTTATTTATAGTTTTGCCTTTTGCAGTTTCAGTGTACCTCTGTTCAGCCGTGGTTCAGAAGCAGATGATCCTTCTTCTGATGTATCATCAGAAGGATCCTAATGCTATGTCATAATGCTCACATCATTCACCTAACTTCATCATATCACTTAGGCATTTTATCATCTACATCATCATCAGAAGAAGGATGAGTACAGTACAGCAAGATATTTTAAGGCAAGAGAGAAGGAGACTACATTCACATAACTTGTATTGCAATATATTGTTATTCTATTTTATTATTTTCGTGATTAGTGTTAATCTCTTACTGTGTACAATTTAGGAATTAAACTTTGTCTTAAGTGTGTATGTATGGGAAAAAAACATATATAAAGGGATAAAGGGTTTGGTTCTATGTGTGGTTTCAGGCATCCATTTAGGGATCTTGAAACATACCCCCCATGGATAAGTGAAGACTACTGTTAATGGAATTTATACCATATGACTTTTTATGTCTGGCTTTCTTTTCACTTAGCTTAATGTTTTCAAGGATTATCCATGTTGTAGCATGTATAAGTATCTTATTTCTTTTTATGGCTGCATAATATTCCATTGTATGGCTATACTATTTTTTGTCCATTCATTATTTGATGGATACTTGGGTTATTCTCACCTTACTTCTTGGCCCTTGCACACACATTAGTGTACATGTATTTGTTTGAATACTTGTTTTCAAATCTTTTTGAGTCTATCCCTAGCTGTGAAATTGCTATGTCATATGGTAATTTTATGTTTAACTTTTTGAGGAATTTCCAGACTGTTTTCTGTAGCCTCTGCAGCATTTCCTTAGAACTTCCTGATCTGCTTCATGATTGGAGGCTGGATTTTGTACTTTTTTCACAGGTGTCAGTTTATTATCTCCCTTCACCTTCATCGTGGGGAATCTGTTTGTGTTTCTTTTATGTTGAATCTCCTGTTTTCTGGATTCCATCTCTTCCTTTATTATAGTTTACTTCCTCTTTTTGGTGGAATGCTTCCTGCAGGGGCTTCTTGAAGAAAGTAAAATTTTTTTGTGAGACTTCATATCTGAAAACCTCTGCTATGTTTACACTTAGTATGCCTGGGTATAGAATTCTGGTAGAAATTATTTTCCTCCTAATTTTGAGAACATTTCTAGTTTGTTTTCTTGCTTTCTGTTTTGCCACTGAAAAGTCCAGTACCATTCTCAATCTTTTTTTTTTTTAAGATTTTATTTATTCATTCATGAGACACACACACAAACACACACAGAGAGAGAGAGAGAGAGAGGCAGAGACACAGGCAGAGGGAGAAGCAGGCTCCATGCAGGGAACCTGATATGGGAGTTGATCCTGGGACTCCAGGATTATGCCCTGGGCTGAAGGCAGGTGCCAAACCGCTGAGCCACCCAGCAATCCCACCATTCTCAATCTTGATTCTTTTTTGAAACATTTTTTTCACACCAGTGGGTTTTTCAGATTTTTTTTCCTTTATGTTTTGAAATTTCATGATATTCCTTGGTGCTGGGCCTTTAGTGGGCTCTTTTTTTATTTTTTTAAGATTTTGTTTATCCATGAGAGACACAGAGAGGGAGGCAGAGACAGGGGCAGAGGGAGATGCAGGCTCCCTAAAAGGAGCCCAATGTGGGACTTGATCCAGGACCCCAGGATCATGCCCTGAGCTGAAGGCAGGTGCCCCGGCATCCTTTCAGTGGGCTCTTTGAATTTGAAAATTTTTGTTCCTCGTTTTTTTTTTTTTTTTAATATTTTGTTTGTTTATTCATGAGAGATACACAGAGAGACAGAGAGAGGCAGAGACATAGGCAGAGGGAGAAGCAGGCCCCATGCAGGGATCCCAACATGGGACTCAATCCCGGGACCCCCAGGATCACACCCTGAGCTGAAGACAGACGCTCAACCACTGAGCCACCCAGGCATCCCTGTTCCTCAATTCTTAAAAATTAATTACTTTTTTCTTTCTTTCTAGAGCTAGTATATTAAATGTATGATTTAGTTTTTATTCTCTCTCCTGCTTTCCTTCTGAACCTTTTTTTTTTTAAAGAGTTTATTTATTCATGAGAGACACAGAGAGAGGCAGAGACATAGGCAGAGGGAGAAGCAGGCTTCCATGCAGGAGCCCAATGTGGGACTTGAACCCGGAATTCCAGAGGCAAAGGCAGACGCTTAACTGCTGAGCCACCCAGGCATCCTCCTTCTGAACCTTTTATTAAGTTTTTAATTGTGTTACATTTTAGATTTTCAGTTCTTTTTAGTTTTCTGAATATTCCTTTTCAAAAATAGTATATTCTGAGTACCTGGGTGGCTTAATGGTTGAACATCTGCCTTTGGCTCAGGTAGTGATCCCTGGGTTCTGGGATCGAGTCCCGCATCCAGCTTTCTGCAGCTTTCTCCCTCTGCCTGTCTCTGTGTTTCTCATAAATAAATAAATAAAATCTTTAAAAAAAAAGGATATTCTTCT